ACAGACAATTCCTTGGACTTCATGGCTTGGTTTGTGCTCTGACATGCACTGTTAACTGTGGGACCTTATATAGACAGGTGTATGCCTTTCCAAATCATGTCCAATCAACTGAATTTTTCACAGGTGGACTCCAATCAAGTTGTAAAAACATCTCAAGGATGATCAGTGGAAACAGGATGCACCAGAGCCCATTTTTCACTGTCATGGCAAAGGTTTTTTTAATAATATATTTTATAAATTTGCAAAGATTTCAAACAAACTTTTTTCCATGTCATTATGGGGTATTGTTTGTGCTGAAAATGATATTGGGTTGCACACTTACAAGCATAAATCATGTGACAAGTTGCACGCCAGGAGTGAGGTGCAGGTATGCTTTTCATCTTTTATATGAACCACCTATGGTTTTAAACAGTTGCAGAATGGAAATCTGACATTTGTTTGGGTTCAGGATGAAAATGCTTCCTAAACAAAGTTGCACTGTGGTGCTCTTTGTAGTGCATCTTTAATTTGTTTCACACAGAGCTTCACAGGTGGAATAACTGAAACGCCTTATCAAATGCATTCTGGTACAATGGCTAACAAGTAACACTTATTGATCTGGAAGCTGTAGTTGACAAGTGTCACCAAAAGGTCCATTTGGGAACCACACCGTCCTCTTCAGCGCATGGAGTTTGCCCATTTGTTATGGATTTGTAGATGTTCATTTGTTTTCTATCTTTAGATAGTCAGTCTGTTTAAAGATATTTCAGGACATACTATTGCATATATGGGAAGTTGTATGCCTTTTTTGGCTCCTGAAGGAGCTGGGGAAAGTAAGTTGCCTTAAGTGATGTTACATGAGTCAACATCAGCTGGGCCTGAAGACTAAACTAAACTTCAAAAATCAGGAGCTGTGGAGTTAGTGTGACTAGACCTCTGTAGTCTTTGTGTTGAGGTTACATCACCCACTGCTAGCTAGCATAACCACCTTGTGCCAGGGTCTGCTGCATGATTGTTTCTCTGATATTTTAAGTGCATTTTGGTGTTACCTCGTGTATATACATGTTTAAAAAAAAAAAAAAATTACCAAATTAGTGAAACCCAGCAAATAAAGACGGGGACTACTCTGGTAATGTTTCTGAACCACCTGTGCAGGAACAAGAGGAGGTCGCAATCAGGGAGCTCTAGAGTGGCTTAGGAGGGCAAGCTCAGCCAGAACTTGTTGTATGATTAAGTTAAACCATCTCTTTGTTTTATTATTTGTGATGATTTATTTTGATAGTTAAAACTGAAACGGCTTGGGGTCAGCCCCAGACCTTGACAGAAGAAACCTGACCCAGTGCATGATGTAGGCCCCTCCTAAACAGCCCCCAGACCCTGAGGAGGGAGCTTGCGTGGCAGCAGTACAGTAAAGTTATGTGTGGTCGAGGGAAAGGAATCGGTGTCCTTCCTCCCCAGAACAGCCCCAGATCACATGCCCCAGCTGCTGGAGATGTGGCGGAATAGTCCCTGTAACAAAAGCTGTTGTTCAGGGTAAGAGTGGATAGATACTATTTAATTGTATAATGTATAGGGAAGCGTTGGGAATTGGTAATTACATTTGTGTATTATACTAGTTTTAAAAGTGTAGTTGGAAAAGACTTGGTTAGCGAAGTACTGCCATAGTGTAATAAGGCAGCTTGTTGTACTTGTGAAAATTTTTTATTTAACTCTCCATTGTGAATTTGCCAGTGTTATGGAAGTGCATTGCTAAGTGCAGCTTAGCTATGTTGGCTTCAAAGCTAAGGCTCCAGGTTCATTTCTAAGCTTGGCAACATACAGTATTTGGCAAACATAACAATAAACACACGAACATGTAGAATTCCATTACAACTGAACAATCTGCTAAGGAAGATTGTGTGAAATGAGGGAAGGCTTCTGGGCCAGCCATTAATGGGTCTTACTTGAGTGTTTTATTGACATCAGTATTGATTTTAACACATTTTTAATGTCATATTGTAAGTAAATGTGAAATGCTTTGGCATTAAATTTCTAAAAGAATAATGCCAAATTGTAAAATGTGTTTACTAGCAGGACCACACCTTTCAGTTGGGCATTAAAGAAAAAAACTTGAGCTGCTGATTGATGCTGAACAACCTTCTGTTTCTTAGAGTACCATGTAATATCCACATTCAAGAGGAACCCCCTCGAGCAGGCCTTCCGTCGGCCCAATGTTAATCTCACATCCAATCACCTAATCAATCAGTACTGGATCGCTGTGAGCCACAAGGCTCCAGCCTTCCTCTATGATCTGTACCTCAGGTTGATTGGACGAGAGCCCAGGTAACCTCATCGCCGACTCGGACACACCACCACGCTGCTGTTAACACCCCTCCCTTACACACACACACACACACACACACACACGCGTGCATCTCCGCTGCTTCTGTGACTTTCTCTTTCAGTGTAGAATGGTAGCCTCACGTTGAAGTTGTGAAGCTAATGTGCTGAGTAGTGCTTGTGTGTGTCTTTGTTATAAGCTGAAGAATGTATAACCCAGCTGCTTTCCTGACCATACAGGGGGTTGCTGATGGGTTCTGCACTCTTTGCATTGTGCTACCTGCAATATTGGTATTCTTAGATGGGGTCCCAAAATGTCAGCACTAAGGTCAGCTCATAATGGGCTAAGGTGGACCTTAGTGCAAAGATACCTTTGAGAACCCAGGCCAGGTGTCAACCCTCTTGACTCCAGGCCCTTCAGATGTCATGGTGCTAATGACAAGCTAGCAATGGTGGTGCCTTTACACAGCTCATACCTTGCCTTTTATCAGTGGAAGGAGGAAATGCACTTTGCTCTTAATCACAGCCTGTGTTCTCCTTGTGCAATCATGTGTGTATCTCTCTCCTACAGAGTACTGTATAAACATGACCTTCAAGACCAATCCCTTAGAGCAGGCCTTCAGAAGGCCCAATGTCAATCTACGCTCCAACCAGTTTACTTATCAGTACTGGACTACTGTCAGCCACACGCTGCCAGCCCTGCTGTATGACGGCTATCTTAAGCTAACAGGCCGCAAGCCTCGGTAAGGTTGCAACAGCCCCAGTCTTTCAGTTTTCCACATACCCACCCTCCCACACAAATGTCTGCTGTGCATCTTTGGCATCAGTTGTCATGACAACAACTTCTATCAGTGCATCATGTTTTCATTCCAAGATGGCGCTTTTTTTTTTTTTTAAAGAAGTTATACTATGAACATGACTTCTAATATTGTCACACACCCCAATCTCTCTCCCAAACACTGAAAATTCTAACGCACCATGGAACTTTTTGGTCAGTAGTCGCAGACGGTTTACATCTCATTGAAACAACTCCTTTGCATCCAAAGTGAGTGGTATCCACAGTTACTCTTTGCTCTTTCATGTTGTTCTCACAAGTCAGACATTTCAGACATTTAATGTTTGGCAGTACCAAGCAATATCACTTGTAATACAAAGTGGTCACTGGTCAAATTGCAGATGGTGTTTGGCTGTGTGAAATGATTCTGGCTTAGCATCTAACTTGCATTGTTTGGGTGTAGTATGTTCCTAATTGGGTGGGTCGCCAGCTGTAATTGACTGTCTCTGCCTCAAAGTGCTGATCAGCCACGCATGTTTCTGAGCTTTGGTAGCAGCCTTCTTCACAGGAGGAATCTGAGTCATCTCAATCTGCCTGCCAGCTTTTCATCTCAAATATAACAAGGCTCTTAATCTAATCAGAAATTGAAATGGTTGCAGCCATTCTATTCTGAAGCTGTTAAATGTTTACTCAAAACTATTAAGTATGCACAATTTGTGACCAAGTGAACTTCGGTTCAAAGGCTCAGAGACCCTCTTACACCCACAATAATGTTTAGTACTCTTTTTATACTCTCACCCTCAATTCTGACTGATCATTACATTTTAACTGGATTTCAATGATAACTTAAATGATCCACTGAATCAGAACTAACCCAGAAATGAGGTACTGCATATTAACTGGATTCACTTGTGTTGGACAGGAGGACAGTTTTTATAAACTTTGGAAACATGTGGCCCTCAGAGTGCTTCAACTGAAGAGCAGCATTCATTCATTTTGTCTTTTACGATTTATGGTACATACTCATTTAGGCTGACGTGAGTTTGCTTCATGGATCCATGTATCAGTGTGTTGTCTGTTCTCCTGGCCTGCACCAAGATCAAATCCAGTTAGCCCTCAGTTCATTTGTAATCAGTCATTGTTCCTAAGCAACAAATTATCACCCTGACTGCTTAACAGTGCTATGAAAAGGTTTGAACAACCCTCTTGATAATTTTCAAACTAGAAATGTTCTCCACCTGATGTCGAAGGTTCTTAGTGTGCACTACAGTTCATTTTTATCTTAATGAAAAGGGTGTACACCCAAAATGTCAAAGCTACTTTTGGAAAATCTGTCACTGCAATTGTATTTTGTTGCAGTCAGTCAAAACTATAAATTTCCCAGTCTAGTGATTTGTTGAACTCCTCAGATACATTGAAGGCTTTTGGGAATAGTCCAGCACCTAACTGTGTAAAGAGGTGTGCAAACTCGTAGCACTGCGTAGCTCAAATTATCAACTGCATGAATTTTTCATTTCTGCAGTGAATGTTCCTGGACCATTTACATGTACTGTACACTTATAGTGTTGACTTTCATTAGTTTTGAAATTGAACATTTGGCTTACCTTCTGCTTTTATATAAGATTAGGTTTCTCTACAGTCTCACTGTGGTGTTTATCTTTGTGGTTTAAGTTTCCTTTCTGCCTTTGTCCCTAACACCATGGAGGCTTGGTCTGCTCCTCATTCATCCTCTCTGTCCTCAACCACAACACTACACACTCCCGTATTTCTGGACGACCCTACGTCACTATCACCTTGTATCTATTTAATCATGTCATCCTCCATATTCTTGCCTCCTCTTCTTCTCCACCTCCATTACTGTGTAATCTAAGAATGATGAAGACAATCACTCGCCTCCACAAAGCCATGATGGTCCTAGAGTATTTCACCAGTCACTCCTGGGTGTGGAACACCGACAACATAACTATGCTCCTGGCCCAGATGAGTCCCGAGGACAAGAAGGTAGGGTCATGTGATAGTGGATTTAGAAAAAATTTACTTCATGTCTCGCTCTCTCTCTCTCTCTCTCTCTCTCTCTCTCTCTCTCTCTCTCTCTCTCTCTCTCTCTCTCTCTCTCTCTCTCTCTCTCTCTGGAAATGGCAGACAGCTTGATCATTCAGTGCAACAACATCTGATAATAAACAGGCATTTGAGTGAGTAATTCATTTGCTGTGAATAGGGCGTTGCTGGATAGTTGTCTGAATCTGCATTTTCTTACTAGAATGGGGATGAACTAAAACAGACTCGGTTTACTCATCATCTTTACTCATTTCATTGTTCTGTGAAACATTTAGTCCTTGTCTTGACAGAAGCATCTCAGCAAAAGCTGCAAGGAAACTGCTGCCACCAACAAACCCCCACCCCACTGGTGCTACAGTGATTTGAGCTCAATTAAATATCCCCCATTTCTATTTCAATGGATTTTCTATTTGCTCCTTGATAATGCACCTGATAAAATAAACTTGACAAAGACAGGCTTGTTATGCAGCCCCAAATCAGAAAACGTTGAGACGGTATGTGAAATTAAAACTGAAAATAGTGATTTGTAAGTCACTTGTGTCCTGTATTGCATTGAAAACAATACTACAGCACATTATTTAATGCAATACCTCATCAGTTTTATTCTTTGTTCCAAATAAACACCCATTTCAATTCTGATGCCTGCAACACATTCCAAACAAAGTTGGGACAGTAAAGCATTTACCACGATGTGATGTTGCCGTTCTTTTTCACAACACTTAAGACGTTTAGGGACTGAGGACACCAAGTGATTAAGTGTGTCAGGTGTCATTTTGTCCCATTCTTCCTATAAACAAATCTTAAGGCGCACGACAGTCCTGGGTCTATGATGATGCAATTTCTGTTTCAAAATGTGCCACACATTCTCTACTAGGGACAGGTCAGGACTGCAGGCAGGACAGTCCAGCACTCACACCCTTTTCCTCCACTGCCAGGCCTTGGCAATGTGCACTATGAGGCTTTGCATTGTCTTGTTGACATATGCATGGGTGTCCCTGGAAACAGCGTCATATTGAAGGCAGCATATGTTGCTCCAACATCTCTATGTATTTTTCAGTAGTAACAGCACTTTCACAGAAGTGTAAGTGACAGAGGTGTGCCAAAGTAATCCTGAGTCCTTGTGGTCATATCACCTTTAGAAAAGTGACGACTCGTGATGCAGTGCCATCTGAGGGATCGGAGAGCACGGTCATCCAGCTTAGGCTTGGGCCCTTGTCCTTTACACACACATTCCTCCAGATCCCTTGAGTCTTAACTATGTTCTACACCATAGAGAGTGACATATCCATCCATCCATCCATTTTCTTCCGCTTATCCGGGACCGGGTCGCGGGGGCAGCAGTCTAAGCAAAGATGCCCAGACTTCCCTCTCTCCAGACACTTCCTCCAGCTCCTCCGGGGGAATGACAAGGCGTTCCCAGGCCAGCCGAGAGACATAGTCCCTCCAGCGTGTCCTGGGTCTTCCCCGGCGCCTCCTCCCGGTGGGACATGCCAGGAACACCTCCCTAGGAAGGCGCCCAGGAGGCATCCGAAACAGATGCCCGAGCCACCTCAGCTGGCTCCTCTCGATGTGGAGGAGCAGCGGTTCTACTCTGAGCTCCTCCCGGGTGACTGAGCTCCTCACCCTATCTCTAAGGGTGCGCCTGGCCGCCCTGCGGAGGAAGCTCATTTCGGCCGCCTGTATCCGGGATCTTGCCCTTTCGGTCATGACCCAAAGTTCATGACCATAGGTGAGAGTCGGAATGTAGATTGACCAGTAAATCGAGAGCTTTGCCTTACAGCTCAGCTCCTTCTTCACCACGACGGACTGGTACATCGACCACATTACTGCAGAAGCTGCACCGATCCGCCTGTCAATCTCCGTTCCATCCTTCCCTCACTCGTGAACAAGATACTTGAACTCCTCCACTTGAGGCAGGAACTCTCCACCAACCTACGTATCCAAAGCCCTTCCATTTGAGGAACATTGTTTTTAAGCAGTTCAACATGATCATTTCATTGTTTTACCTCATTACCAGCCGTCCCAACTTTGTTTGGAATATGTTGCTGGCACAGAATTGAAGTGTTTTATTTTGAACAAAGAATAAAATTAATGAGGCATCACATCAAATAATGTGCTGCTGTACTGTTTTCAATGTAATACAGGACACAAGTGACTTACAAATCACTATTTTCAGTTTTCATTTTACATACCGCCCTAACTTTTCCTGATTTGGGGCTGTAGGTTGTTCATAAAAGGGCAGATGTATTGGCAGGTCACTGAATCTTCCAATACTGGCTAATCCAGAGACGGTTTTGTCACGTTAGCCGATGCCCAAGTAAAATGTAAAACAAATGCTTTATACCATGTATAACGATAAGATGTGTACAATAACGCTTGCTGACCTTGATGGTTCCCCCAGGCACCACCACGAGAGAATATGTTTAGGTTTGAGTGAAAGGTCTCTAATGTTTGAATTGGTACAAGATAGGTGTGTGCCAAACTTTGGGCGCCACTGAGCAGAACTTTTTTCTTCTTCTTCTTTTGAAGTGGGAAGATTAAAATACAACTCTGGCATCTGGTGGACATTAAAACAAGCTAATGTACTGTTCCATTAGAGAAACAAAGGGTTCCACTACATCACTAAGTTCTGTGTTTTTGTTTAGCACAAATGCATTTCAAAGCATACTGGTTTTTGTTCCTTGATTTTCTGTAGATGTTTAACTTTGATGTACGGCAGCTGCACTGGGCAGAGTACATGGAAAATTACTGCATGGGCACCAAAAAATATGTCCTGAATGAAGAACTGTCGGGCCTGCCCGCTGCACGGAAACACCTTAACAAGTAGGAGTGTGTTCTCAAATTGGTTTATACCTGCACATACAGACACGGGAAGAAATCCTCTGTGCCTCAACTCTGAAAATGGCAGCTATATCGCTGGAGACTTGACATCTCTACTGGATACTAGTACTGTAGTTTGACATTCCATTAACAACTAAAGTCTCCTCATTTAGAGTGTGCAGTCACAGTAGTAGGAATCCTCTCTAGCAAAGATGCTGTATTAATTTGCCATGCAAATTTTCAAAGGAATTGAAATTGGTTAATTAAAAATGGGACATAAAGCACACCATTATATGGAGAGAACCACAGAAGAAATGATTCAGTGTTTGTTCTCTTTCTCATACCCATTATGACACCTACTTGGGTCTGTTTTCTAGGCTGAGGAACATTCGCTACACCTTCAACACCATCCTGCTGGTGCTGATTTGGCGCGTCTTTATCGCCCGATCCCAGATGGCCCGAAACATCTGGTTCTTTGTGGTGAGCCTCTGCTTCAAATTCCTCTCCTACTTCAGAGCTTCCTCCACCATGAGTTAATGAAGCAGGGACTCGGAGGCAGGTGGTGGCAGAGGAACGAAGAAACGTGCTGTGGATTATGAAAGGTGTGTGTGAGCTCAACGCCTTTAAAATGGTACAACACTGTTTTTGTCTCTGGCCCTGTATTTAGCCTGACACTCGGATTAAATGGAACTGTTAAACACCATGAACATGGACGGAGCGCCTGACAAACCTCGAGTCCACAGTGGGCTATATGTTGTACATCTCACATCTCTAGCTTTTCATGTAGAGGACATGGATCTCTCACAGTGTACAGTGCTCTAACACACTAACAGCTATTGGACTAGTTAAAGAAGCCGGGCCACATGCCCTCATTATGTTCATTTGCAGTAACTCAGTCCCTTCCTGTGGCTTTCCTCCTGAGCATCTCCTGTAAAAATCTGCTCACCTGGCTGCCAAACAAAACTATGCATTAGATGATGCTCTGCAGCAAAAATCCTGGTCTGGTTTTGAGTCAGTCCAGCTTCATTCTGTACTGCAGGTCTCTTGTGTAAATCCTCTTTAATGAGTTGGGTCCTCGCCAGTTTTGTGGTAATGTTTTACCCCTTTCCAGTTTTCAGCTGGCAGCAATATTTGCTGCATCTAGAAAAAGTGTACATTTTTCTAGCTACTTTTGTCATGTTCGGCTGGAGGCAGTTTAACGGTAATCCTGTACTGACTCAGTAAAGACGCATTCAGGGACAAGCTGGCCTAGGGAGCCCTGTTTTAAACTCTTGCCCTCCTCACCTATCCCCAAGACCAAAACTAGCTATTTCAGCTAGTGTTTATCACAGTTGCACTGACAGCATGGTGGGAGGGGTTTGGGAATTCACCGACACCTGCCGTTCCTCATTAAGATCATAAAGGCCTTCTTTGCCTCTTTCTAATTGGCAAAAAGACACACCCTTTATAACGCTGTGCTTCTGTATGTTCTCAGTGGACTGCAGTGGCTATCAACCAAGCACAATGTAGACTGCAATATGATGGCTTTCCCCAGTGCCTACAAACATTCATCAGCAGATCTTGCTAGTTAGGCTGCTGTATATAACATATGTGAAAGTCAGTTGTGAGAGCCTTGAAGTTTTTGATTTTGTTTTGGTTCTTTTTGTTTGTTTTGTGCCAAAATACCTCTTGGCTTACAAACTTGTAGCTTAGTAGAGGATGAATGGGGATTTGAGAGAAATACTGTCATGTGTGAATTCTGTGTCTCACTTTCAGGCAGCTAACCACCTGAAAGGTTATTTTTCTGAAAATGTGTTAGAGTAACTTGTTTTGTCATGTTAGGGTCTCATTCACTGTCATATTTGTTTGTAAATACCAGGATACAGGATTTGTCATGCTGATACACACTTTCACTGTTGTCTTTATCCCTTTTTGTTAAATATATTTCCCTTAGCTTGTTATAGAACTGACATCAGACATTCTTGCAGAAGGTTCCACCTGCACTTTGTCATAGTTGTCTTTTCAGCTAACTTTTCACCCAAAGTTGTTTTGAAGAAGCAGGCTGTGCTGGTTTTTGATTGTACTTGTGAAAACTTCAGACACCTCCCCAGTTCTTTTTTTTTCCCCCCGTTAATGTCCTGGGGTCATTAAACAAGGTGTTTTTTGTTTTTTCTCTTCACTAGGCTGTTTTCACATAGATGAAGTGACTAGTGAAAATGTACTCTTTTAGAAAGATGTGAATCTAACAATGTAAAAATCAGATCTGTTTTCTTATGTACGGATCTATTTAGGTAGGCTTAAAGATAACACTATTTTTATGCTGATGACATTGTGTTGCTGGTTTACTGGCACAAAGTTCACTGAACCATCTTCAGCTGTTGTAAACAGAAGTGCAGTATCCCCTGAGCTGAACTGTTGCTTCTTCCTGTATCTGTTGTACATGTAGCGTTTTCACTCTGAATGTAATGCAATAACACAGCCTGATTCCTTTACACAGCCACAAACCTCTAGACTAAGGAAACACCAAATTAAGTCTGTAACTGCACATTTAATATTAAACAAGTGTCAATTCACTGGAGACCTGTGCAATGAATACTTGCTAATGTAACTTCATTTTCTTGCAACGTGTGAGTGTCGGCCAGTTTTGTGGTGGTGACTGGCTATGATCTTGTATAGTGTGGTGATTAAAAAAAAAAAAAAAAAAGGAAAAACAATTGCAGGGTTTTCCTCAAGCTTTTCCTTGCGTTTTAAGAAGTAACACAGTTGACCAGGTACTTTTCATTCTCACTCTTGATATCTACAGTAGGGATGCACCAATACCACCCTCTAGTACTTGTAGTGGTAAAAGTTGTCCGATACCACTTTATGGCAGAGTTACATTACCCTCATGCAGGCTGTGCCGCTTGTTAGGCGGTGGAGAAGAAATTTCAGTGGTTTGTGGATATTTTAAGACAAGTGACGAGGACAAAAGTAAAGCACAGCTCCCTCCACATCTCACACAGACACAGGGTCGCATCTTACAGAGACATCAACACTATGTGCGCCAAATCCAATAGTAATGGAGAGAGAAATGAATCAAACACCTGTTGAACACGGCAACAAACTTGGCAGAAATGTAAGGTGTTCACTCTGCCCACGGTCCAACCACCCGGTCCTGGTCACCCCCTGAACCCACACTGTGCTCCTTCTGCTGACTGGAGTGAATTGAGTGCAAGAGAAAACAAATGCTCATTTTACAGGTATGTAAGTAATGAGCTCTGTGCATTAAAATGAGTTAAATTGTTGTGGAGGCTGAGGCCAGCAGCTCCTCTGTGTGTGACAGAGAAGACGGGATGAAGACAGACAGGAGCCAGTTTAACATAAGAACATGTACCCTTGTTACTTTAAACATTGAATTGTTGACTGATGCTCCCCGTCTTGCTGTTCTTGGCGGGGGTTGTGAAATCGGTTCATCCTAAAAGAACGTTGTGCTCCTATAAAGGCTAAACACCACTACTTTACAGTAAATTATGTAGTAAGCTACAGACCCATCAGTGCTTTGTTCATTATCACAAGTCTTCAGGTAATTTGCACAGCCTCCTGTTATATTTTATTTAATCACAATTGGAGTAAATCTCAAATATAAAGTTTTTTTTTATGGCAATTGTAATTTTTGTAGTAGAAACACTATTATTAATAATTACTTGGTCTAAAAAATGTGATATCGGTGCATCCCTACACTGCAACTACTGAGTCATGTCAGTGTTTTCTTCAAACCAGACACTGAACAAAAGTGACAGCATTAATCCTGCTTGGAACAAGTCCCAAATGATGAAACTGATTCATTACTCAATTTAAAGCTCATGAAAAGGGGTTTTGACATTTTGGGGAAAAAACTTGCTTGCTTTGCAGAGTTAGAAAATTGACACCACTCATGTTTGGTATATGGAGCAAACTACCAAATGTGACAGTCACATTTGCAAGACTGTTACCATTCGACAGGGTGATGCTAGCTGTTTTTATTCTGTGCCAAGCAACCCCAGGTACAGTATTGTTCAAAATAATAGCAGTACAATGTGACTAACCAGAATAATCCAGGTTTTTAGTATATATATTTTATTGCTACATGGCAAACAAGTTACCAGTAGGTGCAGTAGATTCTCAGAAAGCAAACAAGACCCAGCATTCATGATATGCACGCTCTTAAGGCTGTGCAATTGGGCAATTAGTTGAAAGGGGTGTGTTAAAAAAATAGCAGTGTGGCATTCAATCAGTGAGGTCATCAATTTTGTGAAATAACAGGTGTGAATCAGGTGGCCCCTATTTAAGGATGAAGCCAGCACTTGTTGAACATGCATTTGAAAGCCTGAGGAAAATGGGTCGTTCAAGACATTGTTCAGAAGAACAGCGTACTTTGATTAAAAAGTTGATTGGAGAGGGGAAAACCTATAAAGAGGTGCAAAAAATTATAGGCTGTTCAGCTAAAATGATCTCCAATGCCTTAAAATGGAGAGCAAAACCAGAGAGACGTGGAAGAAAACGGAAGACAACCATCAAAATGGATCGAAGAATAACCAGAATGGCAAAGGCCCAGCCAATGATCAGCTCCAGGATGATCAAAGACAGTCTGGAGTTACCTGTAAGTACTGTGACAGTTAGAAGACGTCTGTGTGAAGCTAATCTATTTTCAAGAATCCCCCGCAAAGTCCCTCTGTTAAAAAAAAGGCACGTGCAGAAGAGGTTACAATTTGCCAAAGAACACATCAACTGGCCTAAAGAGAAATGGAGGAACATTTTGTGGACTGATGAGAGTAAAATTGTTCTTTTTGGGTCCAAGGGCCACAGACAGTTTGTGAGATGACCCCCAAACTCTGAATTCAAGCCACAGTACACAGTGAAGACAGTGAAGCATGGTGGTGCAAGCATCATGATATGGGCATGTTTCTCCTACTATGGTGTTGGGCCTATTTATCGCATACCAGGGATCATGGATCAGTTTGCATATGTCAAAATACTTGAAGAGGTCATGTTGCCTTATGCTGAAGAGGACATGCCCTTGAAATGGTTGTTTCAACAAGACAATGACCCCAAACACACTAGTAAACGAGCAAAGTCTTGGTTCCAAACCAACAAAATTAATGTTATGGAGTGGCCAGCCCAATCCCCGGACCTTAATCCAATCGAGAACTTGTGGGGTGATATCAAAAATGCTGTTTCTGAAGCAAAACCAAGAAATGTAAATGAATTGTGGAATGTTGTTAAAGAATCATGGAGTGTAATAACAGCTGAAAGGTGCCACAAGTTGGTTGACTCCATGCCACACAGATGTGAAGCAGTTATAACAAACTGTGGTCATACAACTAAATATTAGTTTAGTGATTCACAGGATTGCTAAATCCTAGAAACAAAAACGTTTGTACAACATAGTTTTGTGTTTGTACAGTCAACGGCAGACACTGCTATTTTTTTGAACACACCCCTTTCAACTAATTGCCCAATTGCACAGCCTTAAGAGCGTGCATATCATGAATGCTGGGTCTTGTTTGCTTTCTGAGAATCTACTGCACCTACTGGTAACTTGTTTGCCATGTAGCAATAAAAAATATACTAAAAACCTGGATTATTCTGGTTAGTCACATTGTACTGCTATTATTTTGAACAATACTGTATATGGAGCAAACTACCAAACGTGACAGTCACATTTGCAAGACTGTTACCAGTCGCCTGAGCGATGCTAGCTGTTTTTATTCTGTGCCAAGCAACCCCAGGTATGTGTTCATTGTACATGAATGCAATATTCTCATTTCTCTTTTGGCAAGCTTGTTATCAGAACTCTGCAGGTGTGGTTTGATACTGGCCTCAACTTGTCAGTTTGGTTATGACAGGTTGACAGATTTATTTAAATCACCCTTTTCCAACTGAACATGGCCAGCAAGAGCAAAAAAAAAAAAACACCTGCTAATGCTAAAACTTTTTGCAGAAATGTACAATCCGGTTTATGTGGAACATTAAAAAAGGTACTTCAGAAAATAGGTTTGAGGCCTTTAAGAAAGTTATTTTGAATAAACAATCACCTTGTTTTTTTTGTGGGTGTTAAAAAGTGTTTTTTTTTTTTTTTTTTTGTGCTGAAACCCTTGCTGATGCATTGTTTTTGTGAAGTAGAAATATTACCAGCCTGTTTCCCTCATGCGTGGATTGTGTGTTGATCATTAAAGTAGGAGTGGTGTGGTGTTTTTTTTTTTTTTAAGTTTAGTTTTTTTTTTTTTTTTGTTTTTTTTTTCTTTTCCTCATATCGAAATCTGGGCCAATTCCATATGTGGTCCTAGATCCGATACATATCTGATCTCTGACCACGCGATTGCTGTCGGAACAAACAATCGGATCAGAATTTGCGTTGTTTGTTTTTTTTAATCCCTTACTCCCATACGTGTGTGGTGTCTGTCATCATTCAGTGTCAGACCTTCACAGACCAGTTATAAATAAAACTAGAGGAGAGCAATGACATGTACTGCATGGGGGTCAGTGGAGAGATGAGGCTGCTTTACTTTTGTTTAACATTTATGCAGAAGCTTCTCATCATGCAAAACTAGACTGCAGTTTGACAGTTGATGTGATTGTTTTTGTTGTACACGACTCAGTTTGTTAAATTTGCGGATGTATGTCAACCATCAACACAAAAAGATGAGAATTGAGCACTAAAAGCCTATAATGTCAACATAGTGTCAGTTGCACTGATGATCCAGGATTATATCATCAAAAGTGTCCAATGAATGTGTTACCTGTGAGTTCAGAGTAGTTCATGTTTACCGTTCTTGATTGATTTATAAATAGAGCTAAAACATAGCCATGTATCCATTTTCTTTTCCTGGTTCATTGAATCATTGCATTTAGGTCTGCATAGCAAGAATCTTTTGAACCTTTGTTGTGTAGAGGGAAATGAAAAAAGTAAAGAATCCCAAACAAAGCCTGGATTAATAACACTGAACCCTTCTTTACCTGCTTTGTATTTTAATTGCAGCAGCAGTAAAACACTGGAGCTTTTGCCAAGTGGGTTTTGTGTGGTTTGCTAATCCATTCATCCTTCCACATCAGGTGGAATAAAAAAAATAAAAAAAATAAAAAAGCAAAAGGAAAAAGTAGTAGTTGCTCCACAGCTGCGGATAGAGGCCACAGCACACTTACGTACCTCCTATCTCCAAGAAAAGTTGTCATCATCCCTCATGTAGTCATAAATCTGCACTTCCACTTCTGTTTTCATTTTAACAGTTTCAGAAACCTTACATATATCATTGATGTATAATATAAATAGTTTAGGTCCCAAAACAGAACCCTGAGGCACTCCACATACAATGTCCAGTTCACTCGATTGGTATTCACCCAACCTCACAAATTGCCGCCTCTGTGTCAAATAACTTCTGATCCATTTCCCAACCATTCCTCTGATCCCATATTTCTCCAACTTATCCATTAATAGTTCATGATTAACTGTATCAAAAGCTTTTTTTAGGTCAATAAATATCCCCATCGTATATTTTTTCTCATCCATAGCACTTGTAATGTCCTCCATCAGGTCAGTAATGGCCAAGGATGTTGATCTTTTCGACCTAAAACCATATTGACAATCAGATAAGATATTATGTTTATCAATAAATGTGTCTAGTCTGTTATTAAAGAGTTTTTCCAGAATTTTTGAAAATTGCGACAACAGAGAAATCGGTCTATAGTTTGTGAGGTTGTGTTTATCACCAGATTTATACAGTGGAATAACCTTTGCTATTTTCATATTATTGGGGAACTGCCCAAGTCGAAACGACATGTTAAAAAGTAGAAGTATTGTTTGCTTCTTTATACATGGCCAAAACAGCATATGCTTAGTCTGAGGTTTGGATTGCATTCAATGCCTGTGTAGCATCTATGTTGATTTTTAAAAGTGTTGATGTTGCTCTTGTTTCTACTTTGAGCAGCACTTTATGCCACTATTTTGAGTTGCAGGAGGAAAAGGAGTTCTTAAAGGATTCAATTTGAAACTAACACTCAAGTCTAAAACCAATTCAATGGGTGCCTTTTGTGCATAAGCAAAAAAAGAATAAACCTTATTTAATCCTCTTCCTTTTTCAGAAGTTTTTACTTCTTTTGATTCTGTATTTAAGTAAATTGTTACCATCAGAGTGACAGCGTGATGGACAGTGAAGCAAATGAGCCAGTGACTTCTGTACAGCTGACCTGTTTCCTGTGGTGTATAACCGTTCAGTCCTCTTAATGTGCTGTGTCTGCCAGTTTAAAGTGGACGCTATTGAGCAGCTCCATTAAGATTTAATGCTGCCATTCAGGCATGCTCAACCCCATGAATAGACGGATTGGCCTGTCGTTGTTTTGAATGGCTCAGTTTTCATCTTCTAGAAATAACTGGAAGGGCAACTTTCTGGTAATGCCCTGAGGAAGATTATTACTGCCCTACCCTGGTAATCCTTTTAATTGTGCACCATTTGAAATTTGGTGTCTTTGTCTAAAGCTGGCATTTCAGGGGTTGGGGTTTTGGCTGTTTTTAGTAAGTCCCTCCTACATAAAAGCAGCTGCATGTAAACTCATACAAGCACAGGAAACATGATTAAAGGTTCATAGAAATGCTGTTGTCTGACCTGTTGCTTTTCACTTGTCATCTGGAACTAATTATTGTAGTTATGGTGTATGGAAAACTGTTTGTTTTTTTTTGTAGGTTAAAGAAATGCAAATCAGGAAATTTAAATTCTGAGAGACCTTCTCCACACCATTATAACATTTTTTTTTTTTTTTTTAATGGATCACAAGCTTAAGGGTAACACAAGTAGTGAATGCAATATACCGTATGTTCAGCGTTAAGGTATATGTAATATTACATTAATACAAGCACAAACAGTGTTTCACCACTACATTCATATATTATAGGCACATGAGAAAGTGGACATGGCAAGTTGTGCTCATGGAAGCCTGTGTCAAGAAAAGACAAGTGATTTATGGCAAGGTTTTTTTGTTTGGTTTTGTTTTTCCCCTCAACTGTGTCCTTTAAATATTTGGACACTTTCCCACTGAATTGAGTGTTCAGACTTTTGACTGATTCAAAAGTTGAGATATTAGTGTAAGACAAGTTTTTAGTTTGTATCTTGTAATTTTGCATTTGCAACAGACAAGAGTAAGTCATCACTTTGACTTAAATTATGCAAAACTTGCATACTGATTGGTGCTATGTGATGTTTTCACACTGGAAACGTGATGACATGAACTCAGATTGCATTGTGATGTAGACATGTTTGTCATCTTCTTGCTTGTGAGTTACCTCCACCAGCTCTCACACACGAGTCAAAGAAAACTAGGACCCACACAAACAAACATTGCTTTGTTTACTAGTGGTCAGGAACATGGCACCTGTAGGGACAGCTTGTGGTCTCTTATGAAGTTGAATTGGTAGTGGTGTTCTAAAGTCATGGTTTAACATATGGCATTACATTTATATCATTTCCTGTTGGTGTAAAACCGTGAACACTATTGTGCTTCCATGCCCTTGACAGCTGTGCCCTTGCATGTTATGGTCTCAGGCTCTGTCTGGACCATTTCTGTGAACACAATATCTCTAAAACACCTTGAGGGAATTTCTTCAAATTTGGCACAATCATCCATTTGGACTCAAGGATGAACTGATTGGATTATTGTGGTCACAGGTCACAGTGACACCACATCCATCCCATTCCCCTGAATTTCACTGGTTGGCAGATGCATGCAACCACAAAGTGGAAATTTTAGTTTGTATATGAACTAAAAGAGTATACTGTTATGTTTAGTTTGTATGGATTAGGGACACAGTATCTTAGAATTGCGATAAAGCCAAACTTAAGACTTAGAATCAGAATCAGAATCAGGTTTATTAACCAGGTGGGTTGGACACATGAGGAATTTGACTCTAGTACAGTTGCTCTCAATATGTATGTACATATCCTTATGTAAGGCAATAGCAAAGGACAAGTAAACAATGTAAGGCTGAGAGAACAGAAAGTAAGGAAGTATTGTCCACAAACAGAAGATGACAAAAAGCAGTGAACCCACTGAATGATGTTTAGAGTTGGCTTTGCTTCACATTTCCATTTATTGTCTGGACCAATATACTGCATACTGAAAACAGTCGAACAGTGATGGGACTCTTCTTTCCAGCAACACCTGGCAACAGCCACATGGCAACTGTGGCCCAGCAACTATGCCAAGCACTGAGTCACCACCAGCTATACACAGCCAGTGCTGCCCGAGCCACTGCACTGCATAAACAGGAACCAGGGGCTTACAGGGCTTAGTGGGAGCCCCGAGGCAGAAAATACATATATACTCACTGTCTATGGGCAGGATTTTTAGCCCTTAAAATAACACTGTAGGCCACTTTTGTATTAATAGCTGTCCATTTAGCTAATTTAATGCCAACAAAATGGCACTACTGTCTATAACTAGTTCATGAAAGCTTTTAGCTATGGGCATCTGGTGAGTCTTCAGTGGGAAGAATCCTCTGCCTCTCAGGAAGTGATCCAAACAAATACAGTGCTTGGTAGAACTGAGATCTACTGTGTACTGTATATATAAGCAAAGACAGCTAGCGGATTTGCAGCACAGATAGAGCCACACCTGTCAATATTTTACATTAGCAAGTTAAGAACTCAGCTTCTATCACCTCATAGGTTTTATGGATATCATCTTACAGTTCTGGTTCAAGCTCACTGCTCTTATCAAAAACCAGGAGATGTTTTCATCCCAAACAATCTGGTAAACCCTCTGTGTGCTGTGTGGCCAACACCAAACAGCAGACAAAGTTGAGGGCGACTGTTGTTCAGTGGGTAGACTGGTCATCTCCCATGGTGCCTGCAGTCGAAGTGTCCTTGGGCAAGACATTGAACCCCCAATTTACCCCCGATGGTTAGAGCCATCAGGCTGAGATGGCGCCGTAGATGGCTGCCTTGGTTCTGTACTGGAAACAAATTCCTTGTATGTGTGTGTAACATGCTTGGCCAAATAAAGGTTATTACTATTATTAAAGTTGCAATTAAACACACAAGCTGCTTAAAGACCCAGATACAGAGAGGTAACAAATGAAAATAAAAACACTCCCCCATCCATAGATGGGGCAAAATAGGGTTGAAAGCAGGGTCAGTATAGGACAGATGTCACCATGACATAACTGTGATTCCAATTAATGCTACTGTGGCTCTGGATCTGCTGGATGTAAAGCCAAACAACCAAAATTTGCTAACATATCTGTAAGGAGATAGTATGCTAGTGTTGAGTTTACAAGCTTGTTCTGCTGCCCTCAATGGGCTAAAAACATCAGTAAATGCAGCTTTAAATGTGTTTTCACTATCATAAATGATGAAAATCCCTTAATCATCGATTAGATTGTTATGACAGCCTTCTTTTAGCAAATTTGGCAAAAGCAAGGTATTATTACCCCAGTTCCTCTAATTAGTAGAGAAAGTCTACAAGGCATTATTCTGTTTATGTGGAAACATAAATGATAGATTAGATCTGTGAAGAAAGTATAATCCATTACCTATTCAGTGTAATGCTGGCTCAGCATAAACTACTTTTTCAAAGAAATAATTTGTAGAAATATGGGTCTTTTGTGATTTTTGAGTAAACGTTCGACCTACCATGGTCACCAATGCAATCAAGAGTACACAGCTCACTCTGTTATGTTCATTTACAGAAAAGACACACAGTTTCAGGAGCTTATCTTCTTTGTGTGTGTCAAAAGAGCAGAATAAACCCCCTGTATTCTGGATGTGTGTGTGAAAGGTAGCAGCAGCTGTCATACTGAGGCATTACTTGTAGAAAGGGTTTAGAAAAGTGACATTTCATTTGCTTTGCTTTGACACGTCACTGCTTTGCACAGATCCACTCTGTGGTAAGTCAACCTGGCATTTACGACTGTATGTGATCGATTTTATTACTTCTTCAGCCATGCTTGACTCCCTTCTTTTCTCTTCACACAGACAGAGCTATTCAGTCATCCCAAAATTAACGTGCTCTGTTTCCTGTATCCCATCTTATAAAGCTTTGCCTCAAAGGTCACACTGACCACCACATTGTCTAGTATTTTCACAAAGAGCTCTTTGACTCAGGGTAACTGTAAGTGTAATTGAATTTTCTTTATCCAACAGGAAGACCTTTTCCGTACATTTGGATATCAAAATAGACAAATGTTTCTCTCCTTTTCTTCTGTCTTTCTCTGTCTGAATCTACATCTAACAGGAACTTCTAACCTTCCTTTGTCACTATTTTATCACCCTGAATGTTTTACAGCAGCTGGGATGTTTGTGCCTTTATAGTGAGAGCAGAACTGCGCACAGCATGCCACAGTTGACCTTGAGAGTGTAAATACTTTCACTGAATAGATTCTGCACTTCATTTTGTTGTGGTGTTTGAACTCGCCAACCACCTGCCGTCAGAGTTTACTGACTAGTTAATCTCTTCACACATACGCCACTCTGTAAACCACGTTGTCTCCCTAGTCGGATCTTGGTGTGTGTCAGTGATGAAGACCACTGCCGCTCTACTCTTGCTCTGTTTTTGGGTAAACACTGGCATCCATACTGCTCAAACAGGTAAGTAATAGAGAGGATACAGAGGAAGGCAAATGCAACCCAAACATGTCTTTAATGGATATTTGTGCACACAGCACTGGATGGAAGAAGTATGCGAGGTTAAAATTTTCTTTTTGTCTGTCAGGTTCAAAGTGTGGAGTTCCTCAAGTGTGGGGCCCAATGGGTTCCTTTCTGAGGGTGGTTGGAGGGGCTGAGGCCACATATGGATCTCACCCATGGCTGGTCAGTTTTTTGTGTCTATCTTTTGCTGAGTGACAATTGGATGTAGTGTTTTTGCTCTGTAAGAATGCTTGTTCTGTGACTTTTTTTTCTATTCTCTGTTCAGTCCTACGTAATGCCACAGATGTCACCACAGATAAACCACTGTTACTCTTGCTGGTAGCTGTTATTCCTTTACATTGACGAGGGTATTCAGCTATTGTAGAGGGTGTTTAAAAAAACCTCCTACCACTGTTTTGTAAAGTTACTTACAGTACTGTCTGCATTTCATAAGTACTCAAAATATAGATTAAGTTGCATGAAAATATGTATGGAAAATGCAGTATTACTTATTGTCAGTTTGATAATATAGCTTTATATAAAAGTACAGTAATAGGCCTATAATTTTGTGTGGTCACAAAAAAGAAGTAGTACTGTTGATTTGAGATAGTTCAGCTGACTAAAGTGGTGATTTTCTTAAAGGCGGTATAGTAAGAGCAAATGTACTGTATCAAATAGCAAAAGAAGAACCTGATTTTTCAGAGCTACTGGCTTAGGGGGTAGGAATATCAGTGTTTGCTTCCATTTGGACCTGTCTTGTGCAATGTGTTGTGCCTTACCCCATGTTAAACCCATCTCTTTCAACTCAGCTGTCAGCTGCCCTTTTTGTCTTGGTTAGGCCTTGTCTGCTTTTTGTTATCCAAGATTAAACATTTTCTTTCTTTCCGGGATTTTAAAAGGGCTATTCCTGCCTTTATTAGCACAAGGCTGGATTACTGCAATGCACTGTATTTTCTCACAAGCATCCCTGTCTCCTCTCCAAATGGTTCAAAATGCAGCTGTGTGTCTCTTAGCCAAAACTAGAAAATGTAATCACATTACCCCCCTTCTGGTGTCTCTACATTAGCTTCTCATCCATTTTAGGATTATTTTTAAAATGTTAACATTTGTTTTTTAAAGCTCCACTGTATGGCTCCATTGTATACACTCATGCATCCCAGGTAACTTTCTTAGAACCCTCTGACCTCTGTCTTCTGGATGTTCCTAGGTCTAGGCTTAAATCTGTTGGTGATCGAGCTTTTGCGGTTGTGGACCCTAAGTTATGGAATAGCCTTCCTTTAGATATTCGGTTGGCACCTGATTTGGTGAGGTTTCATTCTTTCCTGAAAACTCTCTAATATAGGCAGGCGGTCCCCACTGGCACTGAGTAGGATAGCAGTTTTCCCTTTTTATGATGTTCAAGATTTTTGTCCATTTTAGTTTGTTGTGTTTAAATTGGTATATGTTATTTTTGAATGTCCTGTGTTTTAGTTTACTTTTTATGCTTTTATGTTTAAACTGTGAAGCACTTTGTATCTTCAGTTTAGAAAGGTGCTGTATTAATAAATGTTGCTTCCAGTTGATGACTGTCTAAGGACAATCTTGGGGATGTGGTCATTGTCAGTTCTGAGGACATGCCCAAACCACTGGCCTGTGGTGGTGTTTAATTTCCAGGACCACACTTTGGCCCTTTGTTTTCACTAGAGATCTTTTCAGGACAGAAGATGTGGCATATTCTCTCCTGGAACCAACTGTGAAAGGCACTGATCTTGTTCATGCTGCAGTACCTTTTACCACTCACCACCATTCAATTCATACAGTAGAACTGGTTTGATATTGCTTTTGTACAGTTGGACTTCTGTTTTAATACTAGGGCCTATTGCTTTGACCTCCAGGTAGCCTGAAGTCTTGCAACAGCACTGTGAGCTTTCCCAAGCCTCACTGTGATGTCCTTTTGTGCTACATTGTCCTTACTGACAAGGCTACCCATGTAGGTGAACTCCTCAAGAAAGTCAAGTAGTCGACCCTGTCATTCACTAGGTTTAGCTACACTAGCCACACTCTAAACTACAGAATAAGGAAAAAGTTTGACTAAGAAACAAAATGTTTGAAAATGGTGGCACTAGTTTTCATTCTCACTGTGTTATCGTGAATGTATCAAACCTTAAGCCCTGTATCAAAGTGAACTGTGAGCTGGTTGTACTGTTACACCCCAACTACTGTACCTAGCCTATTACCTAAGCTCTGGATGGTGAAAAACCTCTGTATGCCTCATCTCTTTTTCTGGTGGCATATCTAATATTACAAAGGACAAGATGTGGCATGGTCAGAATTATATTGTACCTGTACGTGCTGTGAAATGCAGGCAATAGAACAAAGGTCAAAGTGTTTATTTGTCATATGCACAGTTAGGAAACGTGTTTCCCTGTACAATGAAATTCTTACTTTGCCGTCCACATGAATGACACAAAATACAAATGAAATATAAAGTAGATAAATAAGTAACACAAAATCTAAGGCACTTTAAACAGCAAATGCAGAGATATAATAAAAAATATATAAGATTATAATGGAGAATATATGCTGCATGGGAGCAGCATGTGCAGCAGTCAACAGTCAATGTGCAATTATGCATGTGCAAACTGAGAATGTAAACAGTACATGACGTATTTCCTGGTAATAAACTCCTCAGCTGTTTAGGAGTCTGATGGCAGAGGGAAAGAAAGAGTTTTTCAGTCTAGTGGTCCTGCATTTCACACTTCTGAACCTCCGG